CTGCTTCTCCCTCTGCCTCTGCCTGCCACTCCCCCTGCTTGTGCGCTGTGTCAAATAAATAAATAAAATCTTAAAAAAAAAAAAAAAGCAAAACTCTAGGGATAACCAATCACAAACAGCCAACCCAGGCTTAAACTTTTGCCAACCAAGTAATTTCCTTTCTTGCTACACTCTTTGTAAGTCTCTCCCCTAGCTCTCATCTGCAGTGTTCCTAACCACTTTTGGTTTGGTGCCGCCTAACTGGAATTTGTTTTTGCCCTCCCCCCAAAACTTAAAATTTTTAATATGCCTCAGTTTATCTTTTAAGAGTTCTAATGTGGAGGCCTGCTGCTGCAATAAATGGTCATGGTAAATCAGACCACAGTGATGGAAAACCAGAATCTGGCAGGAACTGACATAAACTGTGACTTTAAAGTCAGAGAACCAGGAGGCCATGTATCTCTCCAGGCAAAAGAAAAGCATGAGAGATCCTAGAATCCTCTATTTGGAAGGGATTTTCCCTTCTCATTTCAAGGCATCAACGTGAAATCAAGCCAGAGGCATATACCATGAACCACAATAGCTAGGGAAGACAGAACTTGCCAGAAGTAACGTTGACTCCCTAAGATGATGCAGCCCAGAACTATTCCATCCTCTCATTCATGTAGTTGTCTGGGTGAGCGTGCACAGGAGCTGCAATGAATCAATGTTTTGCTAAACTAGGTCCACTAAAATCCAAATCTCCAAATCCACTCTTAGGTTCATAACTTCATATGAAACAACAGCTCGGTTAAACAGGCATTTCTTTGCCCACAAGACCGCATGTTGCAACACTTGCAAAAAGCGTTTAAGAACTCACTTCCTTTTCAAAGAAAAGTTAAGGCAGGTCGGCTGCCAGGGAGAAAAGGCTTTGGCCTTAGCACCCACCCCGCCACAGCCGCAGCCCCTTCTCGGAAGGCTCTAGAGCCGGAGTGGAGCCCATTCGGCCGGTTACCCGACAGGCTCTAGGCTCCTGAAACAGCGACAACCTGCGCGCCTGCCTCCTCGGGTGGCGCGGACGCTGCTGCGGGGCCATACGCCCCGCGCCCGCCCGCAGCGGATACTGGCACTTCCGGGAAACGGGACGCGCGCCGGGGGAGGCACGGTCCTTCACACACAATAGAGAACATTGGCAGCTCACCCAGCTCACCCAGCAGCCTTGGGCCCCCCCCACCACTTGCGCGCCCTCGGCCGCCTCCCGAACGCTCCCCTCCCACCTAAAAGGTGTGCGCCCTCCGTGGGAGCGAGGAGAATCGCCGTAAATGGCGGACGTGACATCACAAAGAGGCTGCTCTTTCAGGCCCCGCCCCCAAAGGCGCGCAGTGCACGCTGGCCCTCGTAGTCCTTCTGGGCAAGTGGTCCAGTGGAAGATTGACTCCTTCGTAAGATGATTCAAATAGTAGAATGAGGTCGTATCTTGGAACACTAGTCTGAATTTCTGTCTAAAACAGCGCTGTCCCACAGAAATAAAATTTGAGCCCGATAATGTAATTTAAAATTTTCTGGTAGCTACATTTTATTTATTTATTTTTAAAGATTTTATTTATTTATTTGAGGGAGAGAAAGAAAGACTGCAAGAGACAGAACGAGCGGGGAGGAGACGGAGAAACAGACTCTCCAAGGGGATGGAGAGCCCGACCCGGGGCTCGATTGGGATCATGACCTGAGCTGACAACCGAGGAGCCACTCAGGCGCCCCTAGTAGCTACATTTTAAAAAGTGAAAAGAAATAGTGAAATTAATTGTAATCATATATTTTATTTAGCCTAGTGTGTCCAAAGTCGTATCATTTCAGCGTGTAACCAATATTTAAAAAAACCGAGATATTTTACATTTTTTCATACTTAAGTTTAAGAAATCTGGTGTGTGTTTTACACTTACATCTTAATGTGGACCAGCCACATTTCAAATACTCAATAGCCACACGTGGCTAGTGGCTGCTATATTGGAGAGCGTGGGTCTAAAACCTTCAGGTTGCCAGGAATAGTAGCATAGCTTGTCTGGATAATTCAGGAGCCTGTGCCATCCAGCAGTTGTATACCTCAGTTCCTAAAGATGAGAAATTCATTTTTCTTCTTGGCACCCTTCAAAAGTTGGAGGAGACAGGAGTGCAGCTTACTTGACCCCATCCTTCTCTCTAGTTCTGAGGAAAAGGGCCACAGGCAACCTCCAAGGCTAAGGACCCTGCTCCTCATTCCTTTCTCTCCAACATCTTTAATCTGCAACTGCCTCCCTTTTCTGCCTTTAAAGAGGCACCGATCGGGGCACCTGGGTGGCTCAGTTGTTAAGAGTCTGCCTTTGGCTCACTCCTGGGGATCAGCTCCCTGCTCAGTGGGAGGCCTGCTTCTCCCTCTCCCACTCCCCCTGCTTGTGTTCCCTCTCTCGCTGTGTCTCTGACAAATAAATAAAATCTTTAAAAAAAAAAAAAAAACAGAAGTTGGGGTGCCTGGGTGACTCAGTCAGTTAAGCGTGTGCCTTCAGCTCAGGTCATGACCCCAGGGTCCTGGAATCGAGCTCCGCATCGGGCTCCCTGCTCCACAGGAAGCCTGCTTCTCCCTCTTCCCCTCTCCGCTTGTGTTCCCTCTCTCGCTGTGTGTCTCTCTGCCAAATAAATAAAATCTTTAAAAAAAAAAATAAAGAGGCACTGATCCTGGGGAGGGGGGGAGGTCATCAGATATCTCAGAGATTGGTACCACCATCTATCTAGTCAAATAAACTGTAAAGTGAGTCACCCTCCTTGTCATTTTCCTTCCCGTAACCCCCACAATATAATCCACTGCCAAGTCCTGTTGATCTTAACTTCCTGTCTCTTGAAAACATCCATTTTTGTCCATTTCCATGGCAACAATCCAGTCTGTCTTCCCTTTGGATTGCTATGCTAACCTCTAGACTGTCACCTTTCTTTGCCCAACTCCAATTCTTTTCCACAGAGCAGCCACACTGCTGTTTTTAAAACACAAATGTGACGTCACTGCTCTGCTTAAATACTTTAGTGGCTTTCCAGCACTCTCAAAATACAAAATCCCATAGTAAGACTCAGAGATTACTCAAAATCCCATAATAGGGCTCATACCCCTGTATGACCAGCTTCCTCCTGCTTCATCTGGTGGTATATTTTCATGGGCTTCTGTACTCTATCTAGTGTCATCGGCCTTTTCTATGCTCTTGCCTATCTCAGGGCCTTTGTGCTTGTTGCTACACCATGGAAAACCCTCTCTTTCTTTGACTAGTTAACGCTCTATCTTCTTTCAGATCTTAGATTCTAATGTCCTTGGGGAAACCTTCCTTAACTAGGTCTATTAGAGTTTCTCAATACCTCATGGACCTCTCCTTCAAAGCATTTATTAGAACTGCCATTTTACACAGTTAAAAAATGATTTATTAAACGTCTATTTCCCTTACAAACCTAGAAGTGTGATGAAGCTTGAGACCATGTCTTTCTTTTAACTCCAGTACAGCAGTTAACAAATTGTAAGCCTTCTGTTGAAGGAGGTAATGAGGACTTTATAATTACAATCCTTCTGTTCCTTCTGGCTTTCATCCTATTTGTTATTTTTCCTGCCAAATCCCACAAACATATTGTCTACTGCTTCAGTTCATCTGTCTCCAGCCTCCTTGAGCCCAGACAGCTGGCTTCTGCCCCCAGCCTACTACTAAACAGCTCTTTATTTTTTTAAAAGATTTATTTGGGGCACCTGGGTGGCTCAGTCGTTGAAGAGTCTGCCTTCAGCTCAGGGCCCATGGTCCCAGGGTCCTGGGATCGAGCCCCACATCGGGCTCCCTGCTCCACGGGAAGTCTGCTTCTCCTTCCCTTACTCCCCCTGCTTGTGTTCCCTCTCTCGCTGTGCCTCTCTGTGTCAAATAAATAAAGGAAATCTTAAAAAATAAAAAAAAAGATTTATTTATTTGAGAGAGAAAGTAAGCCCAAGTAGGAGGGGCAGAAGGAGAGGGAATCTCCAGCAGAGTGCGGAGCCTGACGTGGGGCTTGATCCCACGATCCTGAGATCACAACCTGAGCAGAAACCAAGAGTCAGATGCTCAACCGACTGCACTACCCAGGCGCCCCTAAACACATCTTTAAAGGTCGCTTGTGACCTCAATGGTCCTTCTTGCCTTTTCCAGTGGTAGCGTTGCTTGAAGTCCAGTAACATATCTTGAACATACACCCTCTCCTTTGGGGAGGTGGTTTTCATTTTAATTTAACACCGGCTTGCTGAAGGATGTGCCATCTGTAAGTGTTTCTTCTGAAATAGCACCTGGTCATATACCACCACTGCCAAGTGCTCCTGGAGCCTGCGTTTAAACACCAGCGAGGGGTGGAAATGCTCAACACTCTCTGAGGTTAATTCCCAGTGAGGGCTCCGTGTGCTCAGATCAGTGTACCAGCTACAGAAGTGACAACTTGCTGTGAAAGTAGACTCCTAAGCTGGGACACTTGCAGGTTTTGCTGAGATGCAAAACACAAGTCCTTCATGGTAGGACTCATCGATAGCTTCCCCCAGCTGCCTCATGTGGCTGGGGGCTCCATTATAAGAGCAGGCCCTCAGCCATACCCTTGACTCATTCTTAGCCCAGGTGCAATGAGCTGAAGGTAATGAGAAAAATCCAGACTCATATTCAACATCATACTTACTGTTCCTACCCGATGTCCAATTAGGTGTAAAACCCAACGCTCAACCTTTCCTCTCAAATTGCACTTCCTGTTTGTCCCATTTCAGTAAATGACAACTCTTCAGTTGTTCAGACTCCAAACCTTAAAATCGTCTTTGAATCCTTCTGCTTACAACCCACATCCCTTCACCAGATCCTATGAACCTGAGGACCGGGCGAAGTCCAATGACATGTAAGCACCTCCGTTAGTTCAAACTGTCAGCCACCATCTCCCTTTCACTCTTGCCCTCCTCATGCTAACTACTGCAGTATTTTCAAAGCACTCTGCTCAAAACCCTCCAATGGCTTCTCATGTCACTCCTAACAAAACACACACTCAGCATGGCTTACAGGAGCCTGTGTGATCTGGCCCCTCAGGGACTTTGCTTACTCTTCTCCAGCCATACCAGACGCTTTGCTATTCCTCGAAAATGCAGTCCTCAGAGCGCCTGGCCGGCTCAGTTGGTAGAGTGCACAGCTCTTGTTCTTGGGGCTGTGGGTTTGAGCCTCACATAGGGTGTAGAGATTACTTAAAAATAAAATCTTTAAAAAAAAACGCAGTCCTCTAGTCTGGATCACCCTTCCCTCCCCAGATGTCTCCAGATCTCTACTTAAATGTCACCTAAAAGTTTTCCCTGATCACATATTTAAAATAGCACTGTCCCCCATCTACTTCCTTCTAGAATAGCACCTCTGTCCCCTCACCCCCCTTTTTTTTCTTAGTATATACCAGAAATATACATTTAGTTGTTTCTTGTCTGGTTGCCCTCAACCCCTAAACAAATACAAGTTCCACAAAAGCAGGGACTTGGCTTTTGTTCACTGCTCTCCCCAACCCCCCAGCACAATACCTGACACAGAGCAGACATTAATATAAATTTGGTGAATGAATAAAGTGGTATAATCCTAAACATCCACTAGGCCAGCTGTCTGAGTAAAAGTTGATGTTCCATGGTAAACACAGTCATGAGACGCAAGTAGAGACAAATGCTTTACTTGGAAATAAGAAGTAAAAAGGAATTTTTAATTCCTCTTCTCTCTTCTGGTGCCTGAACTGAACCGTGATCATCAAATGGAAAGCAACACACAAGAATTCCTCTGCAGTCCTTGAACTTGTGCAGAAATGCAGAGAGGCCTGACTTACACGACTTGCAACGATGGTTTTTCTAGACAGAAGTGCCAGCTGTTGTGCTTTCTAAGGTATCAGCGGGGGCTCCGCTCTCTTTCTTGTCTTCGGGTTTCATGGCAGGAAACAGAAGTACTTCCTACAGGAGAGAAAATGCACTTTGAAGTAAGAAGAACGCTCTTTTTCACAGCTATCCACCCAATGCTTTTGCTTCCTGTTATTGTTGCCACCCAAATCCAGAGATCTGGGTTTTTACTTCAACTCAGTCCCTCTCAATTATAGAGGATGGAAAAGAATGAGTGAACACAGAGCTTCTCTGACAGTAGGACTTCCCTATCTGTAACAATGGGAATAACAACAATGTCTATGCCTCACAGGGCTGACTGTAAGTTACATGAGAAAACGCACGCAGAGGGCTTAGTGTGTTCCTTGGATCCTCAAGAAATGCAAACGATGAGTATTTTTTCTGCGTCAGGTAGAAAACCTCCCA